GGGGGGGGGGCTGTGCTAAGGACTAGGCCTCTCTGGATGGCCGCGGCTGCTGCAGCCTGAACTGTCAGTCCTGGCTGAGCGCCGGAGGGAGGGTTTGGTCACCCCCAAGGGGACGCGGGCCCCGGGGCGGGGCGGGGCGGACGTGGCGGTGCGGTGCGTCGAGTCGAGATTTGGCCTCCCCCCCCTCCTCCCCGCCCCCCTCCTCAGCGGAGCCAGGATCGCCAGAGCCCAGCCGCCCTCCCCTCCCTCCCTCCCTCCCACCCCGAGGCTGGGAAAGGCAGGCCTTTTGGCTTCGAAAGGAGAGAGCTCTTTTCTCAGCATTTCCGAGGTTTGGGGGAAGACATATTTGGACGTGTGCTCGGTGGGTTGGGAGTCGGTGGAGGGGGCGGGGGTGGGCCTGTGGACGGATATCTGGGCAGGGAGGGCGGATGGATTCGCCTCGTCAAACCCCCCGGGGTTCGTGCACACCGATTGATGACCCGCGTGTGTTGGTTGCCTGGCTGGCCACCGGGATTCCGGAGTTGACTGTGAGTTCCTGGATCTAGCCGGGAGGCCGCTCGCTGTATTACATTTAAATGCAAACCTGCGAGCCGGTGGTCGTGTGCGTGCGTGCGTGCGTGCGTGTGTGTGTGTGTGTGTGTGTGTGTTTCTCCCCCCCCTCCCCCCTCTCTTACAGTTGTCAAATGGAAAGGACTCTTTACTCATCTTTGGTGTGGAGGCTTTTGATTGAAATCAGAATTGAATGTGTTTAGTCCCCCTGATTGATTGAAATGCAGACCCGGTTGGTTCACCTTAGAATCCTCGAAAGATGATTTTGTCAATTTAAAAAAATGACTTCCTGTAAACGAGCTAAAATAGAATCTGCACGATCCGTTTGGGATTATATTTATTAAATGGCTAGGGCGCACATGTAAACTGAGTTAGCATATGGGATTTATGGTGCAAGGTTGTTCCTTTTAAATGATGAAGGAATACGGATTTGACCCATAATTTTGGATTATTCCACTAGAAGCGGTGGATCATTCCAGAAATTTTGGAGCAAGATGGGGATTTGGAATAAATGAAATGATTTGGTTTAAGAAATGCAGTTGTGTCAAAGACAGGTAGTCCGTTTGTTGAATAAATTGTACAAGTGCGTTGAAACATGTTCCTCACACCACTGACTAATAAGTATCCTTACTAAAGAGATTATTTGATAAATCCTGAAATTTAGAATTTAGGAGAGATAAATAGAAAATGTTGTCTTGGTATGTGTAATAGGAATTGCTTTGGAATTTGGTACTCTGGAATATAAGCTCTTAAAATAATTTTAATGAAATGAGTACAATATTAATGATTATTGATACTGGTGATAATCCAATCCACAAGGATATTCAGAAATTCTTAAGCACTAATAAGTACATGCATGACCAAAACCAAAACACTGAAACCAAACATTTCCAACAAGATGCATTCAAAAACCAACAGCAAAACAAGAAATAGCTTTAAAAAATAGTCTTTATGTATTTGTCACATATATATATATACACAAAAACAAAATACAAAGGGAACTTGTAATCAAAATATTTTTCTGTGAAATTAGAATGTAAACTATGAAAGTCAAATTGTGTTAATATTTAACTTGCTAAGTCGTGCACACACCGTTTCTCCCTGGACATTGCCCCTGATGGAACCTGAGGAGTTTAACTTTATACAGAAATGGAAAATAATGTTGTGATTCCTTTTCAGAAATTTTGTAGGCTGCTTTTGTCTCTCTTAAAATCTATCCTTTCTTAGTTACTTAAAAAAATTAACTTTCTAAGTAAGGGTACTACTGATCAGAGATGTGAGAAAGAAAACACTCATGTATTCAATAATCTAACAGACTCCATTGGGTTACAGTGTCTTTGACATGTAACGATCAGTTTCTAAAACTTAGATCATTTCTATTTTACTTCTACAATTTTTTTGTATGTGTGATAATTTATTTTCTATGGTTAAGTGTCATGGCCCCAAATTGTGGGCCATATCTAGGTTTTTCAATTCAAACACTTGAAATAATGTTTCCAAATGTGTTTTTTTCCTTAAGCATGTTCTTAATTATATTGCACTCTTTCTGTTTAGATCTCTTGTATAGGCCTAAATTTGAAACATTGTGTTAAGTGCATACACAGCTGTTAAAAATAGCATTCTGATTTTTGTGAGCAAGTTTTCAAGTAAGTAATATGCATGTGCCAAAGGGTTTTATAAAAAGGTCTTAGATGTTCTTTTCATGAAGGTTTAGACAGTTTTTCCCTCATTTCCAAGTGTAAAGACAACGTAAAAATCGAAGATACCATGGAATATATAATGGAAATAGTTTTGCAATTAGGACCTGCTTTTATTTTTGGTGCCCTACAGTTTTGTTATTTATAAAACAGGATGGTGAAACTACCTCAGATTTGTGAGGATTAAGGTATGTAAAATGCCTAATACGTAGTCACTAAATAAGTATTTCCTTATAAGTCTTCTTACCAAATTTTCCTGAATGGTTTTAAAATACTTTGTATGTAGTGGACTATAGTGTGTTATGCTTTCTAATGCTTGTTTTCTTTCCCACTGTAAACTCATTCTTAATAGCCATGAACTTCTAGTGTTTACCAGAGAGTCTTACCAGTTGTCTTAGTCTGTTCAGGATGCTATAATAGAATAATCAGACTGGGTGGCTTACAGAAAACAGAAAAAAAAACACCTTTTTTTTGTTTTTGGTGGTGCTGTGTATCAGACCCGTGGCCTGGTGTGTGCTAGGCAATTGCTATACAACTGAGCTAAATTCCCAGCCCACTAATTTTTTTTCTTTTAAACAGAAACTTATTTCTCACAGTTACGGAGGCTGAGAAGTCCCAAGATCAAAGTGCTGGAAAATTCATGGATATCTGGTGAGGGTCCACCTGCTGATTCATAGACAGTATCTTTTTACTTGTAACCTTATGTAGTAGAAGAGTAAAAGGGGTTCTGTGTGGTCTCTTATTTTTTAAAAAAGGGGGATCATTGGCCTAATTCATAAGGACTGTTTTCCCCAAATTCCCACTTCCTAATACCATCAGTTTAGAGATTAGACTTTTAATTTAGGAATTTCAGTTCAGGAATTCTAATTTAGCAATTTTAATTTAAGAATTTTTTTGGGGGGAAAGGGTTCAGACTATAACACTAGAATATGCCTGAATTAGTCAACAAATAAATGATCAGCTAACATTTGTTAGGTACCTACTGTGGCCTCTCTGAGCTTTGCTAGGTTACAGGGGCCACAAAGGCAAGAAACATTTGCATTTGGAAGCTGATAATGTTATATTAAAATCAGAAACCTAATCAGATAATGGACTTAAGTCTGCCAATCCTTCCACTTGTGAAATGTTTCTATAGTATAGGCTCAGCCCCTCCTTCCTTATTGTTATGACACCAGTGACTTATTGTGTTACCCCTTTTCTTTGGTGCCTTCTAACACACATTTCTTCACATCTTTGTTCCAGTCTACTCATTTTCTGCCATGTAGTATGTGTGCGTGTGTGTTTGTGTATGTTTGTATGAAAATATGCAAGTTTACTCTGCTATTAACAAAATACATTTTTCTGAGGAGAGCTTGTTATTCTAGCTTCAGGTAATGGATTCATAGATGTTGTAAATTTGAGTGTGACTCCAGGTTATTCATTTTATATGTAAGGAAATTGAAATACAAGGCTTTAAAGTGGTTTCCTTAGAGTCACTGAGACCACTTGCTCACAAGTGTTTGTCTTCTATTCAGAACTCTCCATATATTGGTACATGTTCTGTTCTATCTGTTGGAAAGAGTAGTTGCCTTTGTGATTACCCACCCAGTTTTGGGGACTTAATGTTAGTATTTGTCTTATCATTTCTAGCAGGGAACAAGGTGCCACTTATGAACCTTGTATTTCTTCTAATAAAGGAAATGGTGTGCAATTACATTAAATAGAAATAGTGTTATCTTCTATCTTATATAAGATAAACTTATATCCTATGTTCAGACATAGGATGTTTGAAATGAAATACTTATTCTCTAAATAAAGTCATTTTAACAATAAAATGATTTAATCTGCAGCAAATATCTTGGTCAGCTTTCAGTTTCATTAAATATCAAAATGAAGCTTGTGCTGAGGTCTATGTGATCAGTACCCAGTAAATTCTAATTGGGTAATTATTTGGAGAGATTGTGTTAGGCATATCTGGAAGGGAAATGAAATTAACATTTTAAAATTACTGTTTACACATGAAGTTATGCTATAAGCCAATTGTTATTTGATTCTGGTATGTATGACTTACCTCCTTAGAATTTTATATAAAATTTTAAGTGCTTCAGAATTTCAACAAGTGAACAAAACCCACCAAGGATGATTGAAATGGAGGAGAGTGCCATTAACTTTCGTGTCAGAAGATTTTGCATTTGCCTGTCTTCTCTGGCTTTCCTCTAGTCATGAGCATGTCATTTAGCTTTCTAAGCCTTGTTTCTTTACCTGTGAGTGAGGTGATAGATGCTTGAGGTTATAGATGCTTTGCTATTTCAGAGGACTGTGCTTTTCAAATATGGCATTTCTCAAAATGAATTAATATTGCACAAAATGACCTTGTAGCTTTTAATAGGTTACTGAAACTTATTTTTTCTTTTCTGTTAACATTCTCAACCAACCATTACTTTGGAGATTTATAATCTATGAGTTTACTTTAAATTTGTAACTATGTCTGAGATGTTTAGTTGTAAATGATATGTCAGTATTATTGACCCAAAGTAAAATCCTTTTTCAGACTACAAGTAAACCAAAAGGAGGAGCCGTTTCAGAGGACCTAGACACATCCGGGTTAACATTAGTCTTGAGGTTCAGTTCCAGAATATCTGAGCAGGAATGCTAAGGAAGGTATTGCCTCTGAATCAGGGAAAGGAATCCTATGGAAATGACTCATAAAGTCACTATCACTACCTCTGTTAGGCCCTGAACACTTACATGCCAGTAGAATTTTCCATATATGAAACTGCTGACTCACCTATATGTAGTTTGCTGCTGTCACTGGTAGCAGCAGCTGAATATGTTCCACAGGATGGTGTTTTGTGCCTTCATGATCAGTTGGAAACATTGTTACAGAAATCAAACATTAAAAAGAGGTTTTACTGCTCTCAATCCTGGGGATGGAACCCTAGGCCTTGTACATGCTAGGGAGATGCATCCCTGGTTTGGCACTCCACCCTCCTCCCATTCTGGGGTTTGAATTCAGGGCCTCACACCTGCCTGGCTTGCCTGTTCAGTTGGTTTGCTCCATTGATATTCTGCCAACTTAAGCCACACCTACAGCTCAGCTTTTTGCTGGTTATTTTTGGCAGACTTTTCTGCCCTGGCTGGCTTTGAACTATGATACTCCAGATCTCAGCCTTCAAAGTAGCTGTGAATTTAGGTGTGAATTATCATCATGCAGCTTTTTTTTGACTCTTTTTATTAAACTATATGTTTTGCAGGCTTCTAGCTCTTTTCTAGTACCCTTCCATACACCTTACTTTTTTTCTCCCTGAAGCTGTACTCTACCACTTGAGTCTTACCCTTAAACCCTTATTACTTTAGTTATCCTTCAGTTAGGATCTGTGTCTTGGGCTGCTGGACTGCAGTCCTTCTACGCATGTCTCTTGTATAGCAGGATGACAGGCAGGTGCCACCATGCCTAGCTTATTGGTTGTGATGAGAGACTCACTGACTTTTTCCTTCATCCTGGCTTTGAACCTTGATCTTCCTGATTTTTGCATCTGGAGTAGCTGGGATTATGCTTTGCTCTTTCCTAATCGTAATGTGTGCCATTGTATATGCAGATTTCACACTTAAGACAGTATTGTTGCATGCACATTATCTAGCTGTGGGGTGAATGAAGATGCTACTAAGTGCTGTACTTTCCTACTCTTAAGTTATTTACATGAAGTAACTTCTGTTTCCTTGTGTCAAATAGATGGCTTATCCATTTGAAGCTTCTGAGGGTCAGCAGCCCACTGCCATCATTACTTTTAACTTTTTTTTTTTGGTGACAGGTTCTTGGCTGTGTAACTCAGTTTCATCTCAGACTTGGTGTGGAGCCTAAGCTGGCTTCCAGCTTCTTGTCACCCTGCTTCAGGCATGTGCCACCACACCTGTTTCATTTGTTTTAATAGTCTTTGTGAAGTAGAATAAGTTCAGTCCATCCTCCCAGTTAAATAGATGGCAGTATAGAGCATAATACAATAAATCACCAGGAATGTACCATTTACTGTGGACAAACGTCACATTTCATTATTTCTTTGAATTTTGTTGCTCTGTCTGGAACTGTCATTCTTTATTTCTTCTCACTTGATACCTTTAGCACCACAAGCATGTTTCTCTTCATATTTCCAAAAAGTAATACTTTCCTACTTGTTATTTGATATAAAGTATGCTATTCTTTGGAAGGGAAGGTATTAAATTTCTATTAGTGTTTTCTATATAAACTATGAGGTATAGGGAGAAATATGGAGTATTTCCAGCTCATTAGTGCTTTTTTTCTAATTTTTAATTACTGTGTATTACACAAAACAATGAGTTTCATTATAACATTTTCATACATAATGTATTCCTTCACCCCTTATGCATTTTTTCCTTAAGATTTCTTATTATATCTGTGTGTGTGCATGCATGCATCCGTTTTGCTAACCTTCAAATGTGCATAAATGAGGCTCATTTATCATTGTTACTATTTTTTTTTTGGAGGGGAAGGAATTTTATCTTTTTAAAATGATCTTTTATTAGCATACATTAATTGTACCAGGGCAAATTTCATCAAAGAATTATGTCTTTTGAACACATCTACTATTTGTGATTGTGCTAATTGATAAATACTATTTCATACAAAGATTAATTGGATAACATTTTTCTTTCCTAGCTTTCTGAAATGAGCTCATAATTCTGAGATGGTAATGAAAAAATATGTATACTATTTATGAGACTCTAAACCACTAGTTTTTTTTAAAGAAGTGAACCTTTTCTAATTTCTAAAGCTGGTTCATTGTTATTCAGTATCTTACCCACTTCACGGATCCTTTAACATATTCAACAGGCTTAAATAACAAAGATGGAAATAGGAAATTAAATTGATAACGTCTGGAAACTTATAGTAAAACATTCTGCTGCTCTGCGGATTAGAATTTTAAAAATTTATTTGTGTTTTTTGATAGTACTAGGATTGGATTTAGTGCTTCGAGCTTGCTAGGTGAGCACTCTTACACTTGAACCACACCTCTAGCCCCCTTTTGCATTGACCCTCTGCCAGCCTGGGTTATGATCCTTCTACCTATGTTTCCCTGTGTCACTAAGGCTGACAAGTGTGCTGAGCCATTTGTTGAAATGGAGTCTTAGGGTATTATTTAACTCAGTGTGTTACCTAGTCCTCAAAGCATGTATAATTGTGCAGTATATTTCAGATTATTTTAGTAATTAAGACCTTGTGGATATTATTTAATTTCGTGTGGAATCTTCACTCTCATGCAAAATACTTTACACATGTAGGGCTAACTGAACGATACCATAAAGGATAGGGAGGGGTGAACTAATACATAAATGGATTTGAGCTAGCGAATAGATGGACTAAGTCTTAAACCCTTTCTCATTATCTAGACTTAACTGTTTTGAAGTTACTGAATATATTTTATATTCTTTTATAGTTGTATGGGTTCATGTGTTTGTGGTATATTGTGTTCACATTTTACAGATAGGTTTTGCACATATCTTTTATCAGTTAGCATTTTTTTTATCAGTTAGCATTTTTGAACCAGTATTAAGTTTTTGAGAGATGTATGTTGGTACACATTGGTTTTATATCTGTGTGGTATTCCATTGTCTGCATATCTAAATTGATTATACCCCACTATATGGGATATAGT